GCAGAAAGTGATAATACTTTACATTTCTATGGTACTTTGCAGGCTTTGTAAGTCATTTCACATACATTATCTCACTTGAGAATAGATAACCGGGAGCTGACTCTTTTTAAAAAAAAAGTAGATATTAAGTGTATAAATAAAAAATATCTACAAATGGAAACTGCAGGTTTCTCTTAGTGTTGACTAAATTCTAAAGGGCCATCCGTGGAACTGAAGTAAGGATTAGGGGAGAGAGGATGCAGAGAATTGAAAAAGGATTTTTGCTCACATGAACTTAGGAGGGATCTTATCACCCTCCAAGATACACAGGAAGGCATGGGGCCGCCAGCTCTGTAAAATATCTAGCCCTTTGCTGGTTTTGTAAACATTCTGTTAACACAGTGTTTAAGCAACCTGGTTTTGAATTCACAAGTAAAGGATTTCCTGGTTATTCAACATTCTTTGGCTTTTTGAACTTTTGTTTTGATTCCTTACTTATCTGCATGTAGCAAATTAGATGATGGCAATTGAGCGCTCTCCCGGGAAAAGGAAGCACTAAAACTACAGGCTGCTCCTGCTGTTTACCTGGCTGCAGGGTCCTGTGTGTCCTGGTCACACGTTCTCTCGCAGGGCTGAAGAGTTTTTCCGGGATACACGATAATTACACAGCAGCGATCACTCAGAAGTAGAAAGTGCCTTTGGGAGGAAACTAGATGGTAGGCTGACTTCATTTTGCAAAAAGAGACACTCTATATTACAGCGACTAGGAGTCAGAGTATACATAGAATTGCCCAAAGAGCAGGACCTCTTTGTAGATTTTACCCATACAAAATATGCTTTTTGTTAACTTCTCTTCCCCGAGCCTCAGAGCCTCCTGTGTGTCATGGATTAGACGCTTAAGGCAGCACTGAACTCTGAGGACATCTCTCAGCTGGGCTTTCAGCGCGCTGTCCCCCATCACCCCCACTTCTCCCCTCGCTCCCTCCTCACGTACACCCTCAGAGCAATTACACTACAACCTACCTGGGGAGAATCTGCTGGCTTCTCTGGGACGCTAGCTGCAACTTCAAAATGAAGCAAAGATCCGGGAATTGTCTGAAAACTCACATTGGTGCACATGTCTTGTTTGAACAGATTAGATCCTATAGCAGCTTTTGGTCCTGGATTTTGTGCATTGATCAGACTGCTCAGATAATTCATCAAGTCCACTTTGTACCATTTTTGGACACCCTAAATACCTAAATTCTTAATGACTATTTCTGTTGGGATAAGTGGACACCCTCAGTATCTCTTTTTATCATGCACAGTAATAGCCTAAAGTGCATGGAGAAATATCCCAGAATCCCATCTATTTTTTACGATCATCAGCCCTAGAAATTCATTATGAATATTGAAGATGAATACGGTTGAGGTCCAGATGAAAAGAACCACCCCATTTCCATTTTCACTGTCTTTTCAAGCAGATGTCGTATATCACGAAAGTACAACAGTGGGATGAACAACACAGGTAGTGTAACTAAGCACTTAAGTTTAAAATAAATGCGTTAAAGTAGCTAATTATACTTTATAAGAAGAGAAAATGTTTTCTCATGTCTTGAAAAATGGGTGATGGGTAATTTAAAATTTTGTGGATATCCAAAATTTGGTTGCCTATTTTTTTCTTTTGAATTTTAGAATTTTATTTATTTTTTTATACAGCAGGTTCTTATTAGTTATCCATTTTATACACATCAGTGTATACATGTCAATCCTAATCTCCCAATTCATCCCACC